GGTATGAGGATTCTTTTTTTATATTGAAATTACAGCTTACAAACACAGTGACTATTACAAAATATACTTTCAAGCACATAACTTCTAGTGAACAAAAAAAAAATAGTCCCTAGAAATATCTTCAGCATGAATGCACCCAAACAAACTCATACGTTTTTCTGGATCAATAAATCCTTTATTTGCAACACCAGAGTTGCAGCTGTAGAAAGGGACCCTTAAGAGCACACATGTTTTCATACCTACAGCTGAGCTTTCTGATCCAATTACATGTGTGCATGTGTGTGGATTTAAAATATGAGTTTAATACTAAAATCTTTGCAACTATATTCCTCCAAGTGTATAGAGCCATTTCCTTGCTTAAAGTGATCAAGTACTCCCTGAGTATTGTACTATCAAGCAGTTCAAAATCTAAACTCACTTGCATTACAGCAGACTACATCTATCCCACTTACATGTCAAAGAGCCTGGCAGATTTTAAATCAGTCCCACTAACCTCACTGGGGAGAGCAGGTGTTCCACACCTTTGCAAAAGCAGATAATTTTAGGGGTTGTTTAAAGCTGTAAACTCAAGGCTATGTTCAAACCCATTTAGCAAGTTTAGAAGAACAAACCATGGTCTGTGAGACCCTGCCCTACAGCTTGGCCATTCACATCACCATTCATCTCCCATGTGCATCCTCAGGCATTGGATACAACAATAATTACAGCATTAACTAGTAAAACATATTACAGAGTTTTGTGCCAAAACCAAGTTTGGCTGAAAACCAAAATTACCTTCAAGATCCTTACAATCTACTTCTTGGCAATTCTATGCATGCCCTTCCAGATGCATCCAGATTTCTTGATGGTGCTTCTAAGAAGAAGCTAATACAGGGCAAGTCAATAATCATCAAAACTGCTTCCCAAATTTAAAAATGGCATGTTACTGAAAATAATTGCTTTTGCAAAAATAGCCGAGGTTGAGTGTGAATCTTTGGAAACTGAAAAAACAGTTTACAAAATGCCTAGGCTAGTTTCTAATAATGTCCAAAAGCCATCTCAATTTATTTATTCTTCTTGGCTCTTCATTTCCAACCAGCAAATAATGTTCTATTCTTCACTCACCAAATGCACCCTTCATTATTCCCTGTTCAACTTGACTCAAAAAACCTGAGTCCTCCCATAGAAAATAAAATAGAGAAATCTTGTCATTTAATGTCTATGGCCCTTGACAAGCATCTCAATGAGTAATATTTTAAAGGAGTTCATCTTTCTTCAGTCTTAGCACCATTTTTTCTGCCTTTGCTTTCCACATTTTCCCTGCAAATGTGGTTCATTATTTTCTCCTTTATTATAAAAATGCAGAAGACATACCTGCTTTACTGCAGCTATCAATAGCTACAAATTCAGAAGGTAAAACCTGGGGGGTTTTAGTTTTTTCCCCTAGCTTCAAATGGTAGCCAGAGAGAAGCAATGGTAGACCTAGAGGCGCTAAGAACACAAAATCCAGCGGGTACTGTGCCCAGGCTGGCTGGCACCAGCTCCGCACCCACCCTGCGCCCTGAAGCTTTCTCACCTCCCTCCAGACCCAAATTTGCCCGCAGGGAGACCGACAAACGTGGGAACCGCCGTGACCGGCACACGACTCAATGAGCCCAGGAGCTGCAATCGGCCAGGCCGCAGGCCCACGAGCCCACGGGGGACCCTTCCCGGGGCGCTCCCGGCCCTTCCCGCAGCCGCAGGTCGCACCCCACCCGACGCTTCCCGGGGCATTCCCGGGACATTCCCGGCCCGGCCCGACGCGGCGCCCGCACCGCCCTCAGCGCCGCCGCCGCGGGGCGGGACCAAGCCGCAGGAACCGACCAAAGCCGCAGGAACCGACCAATAGGAGCTCGGGCCGCCGTGGGACTCAGCCAATCAGCGCCCGCGCTGGCAGCGCGGGCCGGGGCTGCGGGCGGGAGCGGCGGCGGGGCCCGGGGCCCTCAGGCCGCGCCGCGGGAGCGGGGGAGCAGCGGGAGCCGGAGATCTGCCCCCCTGAGCCCTGAGCTCCGTCCCCAGGAGCGAGGGGCCCGCCGGAACCCGGGGCTGCGGCTGCCCACCCGCCTGAAGTGCTGCTTTCCCGGGCCCTGGTTGCATCCCGGGCTTCCGACACCGCCCAGGTCGCTGAGATTTCGGGAGAACGTTGTCGCCTCATCCCTGGCCTGACAGGGACAATAAAACAAATTAAATCAAAATTGAATAAAACAGCCCAAATTGTGGTAAAATTTAATAAAATACAGTTTAACGCGGGGGAAAATTAACCATGACACCAAGCAGGATTAGGCAGGCTCCTGACGCTGCTCGGGAGCCCCGGCGGGCCCGGGCCGGTCACCGGGGCTGGAGCACCCACGCTGGACCGTGCGCGTCCGCTGGGAACGCCGCAGGAATGCGGCCCTAAATATGTATATAAATAAAGTTTAAAATATATATATATACACAAATATATATATATATACTATTTCTTTTCTTTTTTTTCCCCTCGGCTTTGGTTATTTGAGGTTGGTTACATTTAGTTCAGTTTTGGGTTTTTTCTGAAGTCTAAGACTGATTATTATATACACAGACCATTAATATCCACAAAATTAGTTTCTGGAGTACTTTTTTTTCTTTTTTTTTCTTTTTTTTCCCCTCGGCTTTGGTTATTTGAGGTTGGTTACATTTAGTTCAGTTTTGGGTTTTTTCTGAAGTCTAAGACTGATTATTATATACACAGACCATTAATTTCCACAAAATTACTTTCTGGAGCACTTTTTTTTCTTTTTTTTCTTTTTTTTTTTAACGAGGGTAACCCCAGTATTACGATTTGATGGAACACTTCTATTACAACTCACCAACTCTACAGACATGAAGATATTTCCCGTGTCACAGCTGAATTATTATACCCTTTCCACGACCTCACAGCACACGATGCACCCCTCCCCGACAGCAGCTCCACGGTGGGTGCTTTCCTTTGGGAAATCAGCAGAAAAATGTTTTGAAATAAAGAACAGGTAGGAGATATTCCAGGTCCTGCTGATGGTGCTATGAATGACAACTATTTTCAACTCTGCCAAGAGGTGAAAAAGACCCCCCTCTTTGCAGGAGAGGGGTTTTCCATTTATTTTTCATGTCAGAAAAGACAACTTGCGTCTTGGGATAAAATGAATCGAGTAAATGGGTACACAAGCCCAAATGGAGGGGAGGAGGGGAGAACAAAAAGAAGAAAAAGGAAAAAAAAAAAAGGCGACAAACAAACAACGCTACTGAATCAAACCTTTAAAGGAAATTCAAGATCGGCATTTGAATTCCCGCTTCCTATTGCTGCCAAGCATGGTATAGCCTTAAGTGAGCAAACGAAGGATCAGTTTTGTGACTGAAATTCTCGCAGATACTCAAAGTAATTTGTTTGCATTTCACATTGCATCGCCTACACCCCAGACTGAAATAAGGCTCGATCCTGAAAACTCAGTCTTCGAAGTGTATCGAGCACTCAAAGAGATTTACCGTCTGCTTCAAAGTGTGAGCTACGCCAAACCAAAAAGCGGGGCTCCTCCTGACTCTGCCTGCCCGAGGGCACACGGAAAGCCCAGCTCGGACTGAGCGGGCACACCCGCGCAGCTGGCCGGGCACAGCTGGCGGGTCACTGTCGGTAGCGTTGCATCCTTTTGCCTGGTGAGTTGTAAGAGATGCCAGGGGAAACAGAATTTTCTGACAGGTTTTGTTTTTTGGTTTTTTTTTTTAAGCTGAACTCGTTTCAGGTTTTCCATACCAAAGAATACGATTTTTTTTTCCCTCAAATAAAAGTAACAACTATTCTAAAGAAGAGTGTCTGCAAAAGTGGCATGTTTGACCGAGTGCAAACAGATAAAAACAGACTAATAATGTCCAGCTTTTAACAGCTCTGCCTTCGCCCTGTGCAAAACAAAATTTAAAAAAAAAATTTAAAATCCTAAGCATAGAGAAGAACAGATTGGATTTGGGATTTTTGCCCCTCGGTTTTGCTAAGTGAGAGAAGGAAAATGCTCAGGCGACATATTCAGAGGCAAATTGTTCAGAGTTTGACCCAAAGAGGCGGTATACAGATGGGTCTGAGCTTCCAATCATCAGAAGCATTGTGAAGAAACACGAGATCCTGCTGACAGCACCTCAACGAACAACTAGGCAAACAGTAGTTTGTCAGTAACTTTATTTCTTTTTTTAAAAAATCGCATGACAAACTGGAACCAAGACCAAAATACTGTATCCACTGTACATCGTTCATTAGAAAACAAACATACACCACATTTGTATTCTACCAAACAGAGAGTGTATTTCCTTTAAAATTATATAGTGCGTGCTTTTAGAGTCATGCTTTTCAATATTTATTTTACATTTGTTACTCAAATATTATCTGCTATAAATAATTGCAACTTGATCAAATGGTGCACCTGTTATGCGAACCTCTTCCATGCTGCAAGAGCGGCATTTTGTTGCCTGCTTTTTTCTGTCTTTCCACAAAGCTGTTGGTATTGCTTTATTAGGACCCAAGCAAGCACGGGTGAGGTGTCAAATAAAGTGTACAGGTGCCAGAGGCGCTTGCAGACCCGGGTCTGCTGCTGAGCCCCACGGCTCAGACCGCTGGAACGAGTGATGGGAGAGCGCATAGAAAAAAAATCGTTTCCAAAAGGCACAATTTTCTCGACACAAAGGTACAATAAAAATATATGGCCACTGAAATGCGGGCTCCTATCGGGACGCGGTGCCTGTCCAGCGGGATCCCGGGCCCGCCAGGGTTTCGCCCTCCCTTCCCTGTCCCGGCACCGCAGCTGCAGCACCGGGGGCGATGCCGTGGAGGGATCCCGGGGACGCCCGCGCACCCCTGCCCGCCCCGCCGGCGGCTCTGCCCGCCTGCCCGCGCTCCTGCGCGACACGGCCTCCCGTGGGACCGCCCCGGCAGCCCAGAGTAGTGGGAGGGGGGCTGCAGCGCTCCCCTCACCCCCGCCCCGCCCCGGCCGCCTCCCGCATCACTGCTCGCGGTGCCGGCTGCCGCTCTCCGGCTCGCTCTGGTCGTCGGTGAAGCAGACGTCCACATCGCTCTCGTTATCAGTCTTTTGCTCCTGCTCGGGCTGCGCGTAGCCAGAGTCACTCTTGTCCTCGGCCGCCTTGCCGAGGCTCTGCCCCGGGTGCCGGGATTTGACGTGCCGCTCCAGGTCGCGGCGCCGCACCAGCACCTTGCCGCAGTACTCGCAGCGGTAGGGCGTGTTGCCCTCGGCGTGCAGGCGGATGTGTTTGTTGAGATTGCTGGGGTCCCCGAAGGGCCGCAGGCAGACCTTGCACTTCAGCGGCTTGTAGCCGGTGTGAGTCCGCATGTGGATCTTCAGCCCGTACTTGCGGGAGTACAGCTTCCCGCAGTACAGGCACAGGTGCCCGGTCTTGGGTTTCCCTCCGGCCGCCCCGGCCGCCCCCGCCGGCAGCGCCTCCAGCCTCCCTCGGCCTTTCTCGGCCGCCAGCTCGGAGAGCTGCTGCGTGTGCATGGCGATCTCCCGGTCGATGCTGGCCAGCGAGCCCAGCTCTGCGGCGTGCAGACCCGCCGCCGGTCCCGCGAAGTACGACACGGACTCGGGGTACTTCAGGAGACCGCCGAGGTGCAGCTTCAGCGGGTAGTAGGGCGCGGCCCCGTAGAGCAGCTCCCCGTTGTAGACGGTGAGCGGCATCACCGGCAGCCCGCACTCCCCCGCGTACGCCTTCAGCCCCTCGAAGGGCGGCAGCGCGAAGCGCTCCAGGGCCCCGCCGGGCAGCGGCGGGTAGCGGGCGGGCGGCAGCGCGGCCGCGGGCAGCCCCCGCTCCACCTGCCGGAAGGCCGAGGCCTCCTCCAGCGGCGACAGCAGCGGGAAGGCGCGCAGCCCGCCGCCGCAAGCGCGCCAGCCCGTTGCCGCCCGCCGGCCCCAGCAGCGGCCCCGGCCCGCGGGCGGCCCCCACGCTCATGTCCAGGGCGCGCTCCTGCTCCTCCTTGCCCGCCGCCCGCTTGGGCAGCGCCGGCTTGGCGAGCGGCGGGGAGGCGACGACGGCCTCCCGTTTGACGGCCTCCCGGGGGCCGCAGCCGGGCGGAGGGTGGCCGCGCACTGAGGCGGCCGGCAGCTCCTTGGGGGGCAGGCCGAAGGCGGTGGCGGCGGGCCGGCCGTGGTCGTGATGGAGAAAGGGCCGGCCGTGGCTCAGAGCGCAGTGGAAGTGGACGTGGGCCTTGAGGCTGTTGGGGTATTTGAAGGTCCTCCAGCAGTACCAGCAGATGTACCTCTCCTCCCCTGCGGAGGCAAGCGGAGGGACCCGTCAGCGGCGGCCGCGCATCCCCGCGCCTCCCCGCGCATCCCCGCGCTCCCTCCGCCTCGTCCCGCCCCCGCCATGCTGTGCCGCGGAGCGGAGCGGGCGCTGCGCGGTCCGGGCTGAGCTCCCGCGAGCGGGGCGCCGTAGGGCCGGGGGGAGCAGCTGCTGCCGCGAGTCGTCTGTCGGGGGGCCCATCTGTTGGCGTTTGCAGAGGAGGTAGCGTATGTCAGGGAGTCGGCTGCACCGAACAAAGGCCAATCTAATGATCGTGAGCCCCTCATTACGCGGCGAGACAATATCCGATATGTATGGGCCATATGTAATCGTTCCCTTTCAGAGGACAATGCCCTTTGTACCCCGTCCCATTTCGACTTCTCTCAAGCGGAACAGACCTCGGTGGCCGCGGCGGTGGTGGCTGCCCGACACCGCAGAGGCTCAGACTCTGCTTTCCCCCTCCTGCCTTCCTTGCCAGGAGAGTACTCCCAAAGAGGAGCATCTCCCCAGCCCCGACGGTGAAACGCCGCCTCTGTGGCCACCTGTCTGTCTAGCAAGTCCTTCCTTCCTTCCTTCCTTCCTTCCTTCCTTCCTTCCTTCCCCCCACTTTCCCATTTCCTTCCTCTCTTCCTTCTCTCCTCTCTCCTTTTTTTCTGTCTCTTTGTACCCATCTTTCTCTCTTTCGTTTCTCCCAGTCACCATACTACGCTGGTAAGCCCCTGAATTTCCCTTTCGGCTCTTGCCCATCCTGACCGTCCCCAGCTGACCCTCATCCCGCAATTTCATGCACCGAAACACCTAAGGTGAGGCCAAGAGCCGCACGGAAATGAGAGCCCGCTCCAGGCCTGGGGCAGCTCCTCACGTTTCAGGGAACCCCGTGGGGGATGACAGGGGTGAGACCTTGCACCGTGCCCCTCGTCTGTCGGGACACCCGGGGAGGGCGGGTCGCCGTGGTGGATGCGATGGCCGTGACCCAGCCTCCCTGTCACCGGCTTTTGAGGGGGATCAGTCGATGTCTGCTGCGGGTGGAAAACGGAATCTTCGCTCTCCGCGGGAAACTCGTGTGCAAACTCGCGTGGAAGCATCGCACGCCGTTGCGTGTATCTCGCCGCGTGTATGCTCGCCGCCTTTCCTCGCTGGCCGTGGGGAGGCGGTCCCGGGGTCTGCAGCATTGTGAAGGCGCTGGGCGCTGGTTTTCCCCCCGTCGAGGTGGGGAGAGACGGGACTGTGTCTGCCCGGGCCACGGGAGAAGGAACCACGGTGGCAATCCCACTGCCATGCAGGGGGAAAAGGGTGAAGGATAAAATGGAATACAGCCACGGACCGCCACGGATTCCCTTCTGCTATCCCCGTCGAGGTGGGGAGAGACGGGACTATGTCTGCCCGGGCCACGGGCCCTGTCTGCCATGCAGGGGAAAAAGGGTGAAGGATAAAATGGAATACAGCCACGGACCGCCACGGATTCCCTTCTGCTATCTTCGTTTGCCTGTGCAGGTCTCTACAGCAGCGCGGGTGTCCTCGGCAAAAGATGGTAGGGACAGGCTCCCGATCGCCACCGAGCCCAGCTCGGCGCTTCCCCGGCTCAGCTCCAGTTCAACAAGAACGGCTCCAGGGAAAAGATTTAAAAAAAAAAAAATCCCACTGCACACCCCCACCAAAAACCATCTCTTTCTCACCACGGTGACCCAAATTAAAGGGGTCAAACACAGAAGAATTCCAAATTTAGTTTGGTTTTTGCGTTTTGTGTTAAAAAAAAAAGCAAAAATCTCTCAATTTCTTCTGCTGTGTCTTTTCGGTTGGTGGGGGTTTGGGACTTTAGTTTGATTTTTCGGCTTTTTTTTCAGCATATGGTCATGAAAAGAAGAGCACTTCAGCATACTGATACACTTTTTCTGAGTCTGTATTAATTAGTCTGGAAACTGTGGGACTGAAGACACAGCAGATCCGTAAGGTCACTTTGCAGATCAGCCTTGCTTCGACGGGGCGAGGAAGACGCCGCACGCTGGGAGCCTCTTGCAGACCTGAACTCTCATTTTTCCCCGGAGTAGCGCTGGTACCCATCCGCAGCAAGGGCTGCTGGGCAAGGAGCAGGGCACAACTCAGCCGCGAGTCCTCCTTGCTCCCGAAACTTCGCCAGGCTTTTCGAGGGGGTGACCCTCGGCAGATCCATGGCCTCACTGCCCTTCGACGTGGCGAGGACAGAAATGTGACCAAGAGTTTCTTCTCCGGGTGTAGTTTTCGGACAAGGAGGGATTTGGGCTCTTGCCCACGGCCCGGTGTGATATGATAGCCAGAGCCTGGCTGTCCCGCAGCCATCCCTTCGGAGCCATCCCCGCACACCTTGCGGAGCGGCCAGCCGTGACGGGGGCACGGGGCAGCTCCTGCCCGGATCGTGCACTCGCTCCCTTCCCGGGGACATTGCCAAGCTGAAGGATCTTCTGCGTCAAGCAGGAGCGGCTGGGGTTCCCTCATGTCCCGCGGAGCGGGCTCAGCCCGAGGGGAGTGCCCACAGGCGGCGGCCGCCACCGACGCCCCAGGGAGCGCCCGGACCCAGGAGCAGCGGAAGGGGGTGGCCGCCGACAGAGAAGCCCGACAAGTGGACGCTGAAATGTTCCGCCTTTTTTTCCCTGCCTTTTTTTTTTTTTTAATGTGCTGCCACCTTATCATTTTGTTAACACCGGTGTAATTCCAGCTAAAATTAGGTTTGCGGATTGAAACAAGCCGTTCCAGGCGGGTGTCTTCCCCTTCCCAACATCTTTGCATATCCTGATCTCTGTGTGATTTGACACCGACTTAACCTTTTACCTAATGTATTCTAATTTACAGGGACTGCCCAGAACTGTCCAGTTTTGGCTTGACTTTGTGAACCTACCCGCAAGAGAACCTGAAAAGAGTCTCTGAAACTCTGAGAACGGAAGGTAAACCCGATGTTTTTAGAAACAGCATCGAGTGAGCTGAGCGGACTCAATTTACTGTCTCGCATACCAACTATAGCAATGTTTCACAGAAACCCCATTTGCCTATCAAAGAATCATTAAATCGGGCCGATGAGGGAAAAACTCGACGCACGGGGGCCTTTCCATACGCTGCCGAGTTAATAGATCACCCTTTAAATGTAAGCAGATGGAGTCTTAGTTTAAAGGACGGTGGGTTAAATTCACGGCAGCTGTACTGGCATTTATTTTTCTGAGGGCCCAGGTTTGCCTACCGCAGTTTGAGTTCTCGTCAACGGTGTCAGCTAAAGAGGGTTTGCTTAGTTTCATTTAATTTGGTTGCTCTGAAATGAGTGCCCGCATCTGTACCTTTCTCGTCGTGCGTCGGCGTGGCCGTGACGGGGATGTCAAACCACTGCGCCAGAGGGTTGGAGTACCAGACGGTAAGCTCCTCTCCCGGCTGGACATCTCGCAGCGCCCGGTAGAAAATCTGGAGAGGGAAGAAAGGAAACTTCTTCAGGAGGCTTGAGAGGGGAGGCAGGCGGCGGAGAGAGGTGCCATGCCAGCCCGGAGCCGCGAGTGGGGTACCTGTCCTCCTGGCAGATCCGCAACAGCCTCCAGTGTCTGCTCTTGGGAGTTTCGGGCAGCTCGGATTAACCCTATCCACTCCAGAGCTGAGCTCCCGGCTTCATCCACTAATTCCCCTCTGACCATCCGCACCTGGAAAACAGGCGGCAGTGCTGTCATTTTCACGTGAAACGAAACACGAAAAGAGCAAAAATCTTCCCCGTCCCCCTGCCTGCCTGCCCGCTCTGCCTGGCCCGTCGAGCTGCATCCCCACAGTAGGCAGGGGGCTGAGCATCGCAGCTGTAAGCAGCGGCGAGAGCATCTCCTTTTGCCGCCTGTTTAACGCTTCCATCCTCACCCACCTTTGGGAAGGACAATCCCCGGCTCGCAGGTGCCTTGGCAAAGATGCGGCTGCCCTAGCGGGGGTTGCAGATCCGCAGCGTAAGGATGGAAGAACCCGTGCCCAGAGAGGGTAAACGGGATTTTTCCTTTGGGTAGCATTGATCCAAACGCACCTTGTCCAGTTGCAGCTGTTACATTTCGCTTAAAGCTATATTAAATACCCAGGTACGATTTTTAATTTTTTTTTCTTCGTCTCTAAGTCCGTGCAAAACCATTGCGACATGCAGGACTTGTCGGGAGATGGGGAAGGGGAAAGGGGAGAAGATTCTGCTTAGCTACAAAGTCCCTGTAGCCCCATACTTCATAATCTGCTTGCCCATACAAAGAGAAAATGAAGTGCCCATTCCCTGAATGACCGTGCAATAAAAGTCATCGGAACAAAGCAGTCTAAAGCGAGAAACCAAGGGAGCCAGATGAGAAATAAATTTGAGTGGGCTGGCAGAGCGTTTAAAAACAATTAAAGTGCATTAAAAATCAGAGCGGAACGCGTGAGCCGCGGCTGCCCGGGGGGCGAAAGGAGGGGTCTCATCCGCAGCCCCCTGAAGAGCCTGATGGACGGGGCGAGAGCCTTTCACCGCCTCCTCCTCGCTCCTCCGCTCGGACACGGACTGACCCCGGAGCCGTGTGGCCGTCATCCCTCCCGCTCCGGCTGTGCGGGCTGATTGCGGCTCCGGGGGAGCGGGTCCCCCCGAGGCTCTGGGGGAAGGTCGAGCTGCCCCGGGCTGCCCCGACACCTGCGACCTGCACCCCGGCGCTGTCTCCGGGGCAGCCCCGGTCCTCTCGCCCCACACTCCCTTCAGGCCCAAGCCAAAGGACTCGCGGCCGGGAAGAGGGATTAGGGGGCACGAACCCGAGCCAAACGCAGAAATAAATCGGTGCGTCTGCCTCTGCCCTGCTACTTCCCGGGACAAAACCCGGGCACTGTGACAGCCTCAAGCCCTCGCCTCGCCGGGGCTCCAGGAGCGAGAAGCCGGCCGTGGCAGGTCCCGGCTCTGCCAGGGAAAGGGGCAATGCCCCAGTGAGCCCCGGGGGGCGGGGGCTGGGTGCCGGGACCAGGGGCCTCCGACATCGGGCACGGAGCTCAGGCGACGCTTCCAGCACGTCTCTGTCCAAGGCGGGGGAGCGCCCACTCCTCCGGGAGAGCCCCCGTGTCCTCTGGCCTCGCCCCGGAGGTCGGCGGGCTGGGGAGGAGGGGGAGAGGGCACGAGCGGGCAGGCTTTCCTGGCAAAACCACGGGGAGACATCTCAGGACGTTCTGGAAATGCTTCCCTTTGCTTTCCTGGCTCTCTCTAAGAAGGAAGGATCGAAGAGAGACGGGGAAGAGCAGCCTCTTCTCCCAAAGCGGGCTTCCCCCGAGTCAACGAATAACCAAAGTCCAGCGGTGCAGGAGCGACCGTAGGAAAATACCTTTTTTTTGGGTCCTGGCTCCTTGCGGTCTGACAGGTACTTGCCCAGTTTGAAGGTGCCCGGCACAGGACCCAGGCGCAGCCCAGCCGGGATGCAGCTCTCCGCGCTGACGCTGATGGCCGGAGCCCTGCTGGTTTGCATCGCTGCCGCTGGGTGTGAGCGCTCGGGAACCCCAACTACTTAAGGGGGCCGGAGTGACAGCGGCAGGCGGCGGGAGGATGAGCACAGGCGTATCTCCGCCCGCAGAGTGACGCGGCGCTGTGTGGACGCCGGCTTTTCAACGGGAGCAGGAGGGGTACCCCTTGGCAGGGGGATGCTCTGGGGCGCAGAGTTTGGTGAGAGAGTTTGGCTCCTCGAGCAGCTGCGGAGTCCCATCCAAGAGGGTCACATGGAGCCTTTCCCTAACCCTCCTGCATAATCAGGCGGAGTGAATGGCTGGCAGACAATGGGCCAGGCGACCTTCCCATTCCTAAAAATCCAATTTGTCAAGGGCAAAGAAAAGGCGCTGGTGAATCAAAGGTCTGGAGGGACCATTAATCCTCAGCATGGGGTATTGTCCCCGAGACAGTTACGATATTTTAAGTGACAAATCCACTGTATAATTTCTCCATAAATTTTACTTCCTTTTATTGTTCCTCGACAAACCAGTTTTGGAAAATAAGTGACTATTTTAAGTCTACTTGGCTGAGCCTTTTGAGGTTTAATATACTTCAAAGATTTTTAATTCTCTTCCCTTGGCTTTATTGTAAAGGAGATTAAACAAAGAGATGGGGAATGTTTTGAGGACTTGTTAACTTCTATTGATTCCCGGCGTGTGCCATACAGAAATTGGGCAGGTACTTGATGGGAAAACACCAGAAAATACCTACACTTTTTTTTAAGAACGACCATATTACCATTTCAGTGGTTTGGTTTCAGGCCAGTAATCTGTTTCAGAAGAGCTTTGATCCTTAAGGAGGATGAATAGCACAAAATATGAGCCGCCGTAGCCCCTGTAAAACACAACCCGCTGCACCTGCGAGCGCTGGGGAAGCTGCGTCTGTAGTTCGTGCGATTAAGAAATAGAGACAGGAGGAAATAGAGACATACAAGCACCAGGAAACAGGCAGTCCCGGACAGCAGATAACACAGATATCTAGCAAACAGTGTGCAGCTGGATTCCTCCTTCAATACATCCACAAGTTCCTTGCCCACACACTAAATCTCTTGCACCCGAAACTGCTTTAGGAGGTGGTACCTGCAAAAAGCAACCGTAAATAAAGCCAGAACGAAGATATTTGAACAGAGTGTGCGCCTATGTCCCCCCTCTTCATATAAAAATTTTAATTAAGATACAACGAGGTGCTAGGATTAAGTCATCTTATAATTCAGGCTGGATAAATGTCCCAGGAATTTTCTAGGAGCAGAAAAGGAAAGGTCCGCGACTTTTTTCCTTAAGTGCATGCAACAGTTCAGATGTGCCTGTCAGACAAGAGGGACACTAACAAATTCAATTTTCCACTTTCGCTTTTATACTCCTATCTAATTCCTGCTGGCGGCTTTTCTCTGCTCCATACCTCATAATATTCAAAAAGAAGATTTCTAAACCTTTCTGCTTTGGAGAAGTTGCAAAGTTGCACATGAGATTTTATCCACTGCTTTCGGAAACAATGGCAGAGATGGAGCCTTTTTTTTTTCCTGTTTTTTTTCTCCTTTATTTTTCTATTTTTTTTTTTTTTTTTTCTCCTTTTTTTTTCTATCTTTTTTTTTTTTTTCCCCGGGGCGTTTTTGTAATAGTCAGCCCCAATAAATTTCAAAAGGAAAGCAAAAAAGCTACGCTTAGAGGTACATCTGCCAACAGATGCCAGGTAACTGAGCGGGCTCTTCTCAAGTAACCCGCTTTCTGCAAGATAAACCTTGGCACGTCGCTTTCGATGCGATTGTGTGTGGGAGCTTTGCTCTGGATTTATTCGCCGCCGCCGCCACGAGTGGCACCGTGGGTGCAAAGGCCACAAGGATGCGCAGGGCAACGAGAGCGGTTTCGAACCGGCGCCTCTCACCAGCCGGCGGTCCCAAATTCTTCTTTCCTCTCTCCCTGCCCTTCACGGCGCCGGGAAGCACTGAAAGCTCAGCCTGGCAGGTCTGAGCTGCTGCGATGGCATTTGCCCTCGCTGGCCCGTTCGCCGCGGCGATGCGCTCCCGGTGCGGCCGGCCGCCTTCCCGGGGCACCGGCGGCCGCCGCCACGGCCGGGGCGAGCCCTGAGGTGTCCGCGCCCCGGCAGAGCGGCNTGCCGGTGCGGTCCGTGCCGCCCCGGGCGCTGCCCGCGGGCGCGGGGGAAGCGCGGAGCTCCCCCGGACGGGCGGCACCGGGAAGGGACGGGGACAAGGACGGGACGGGGCGCTGGCACCGCCCGCTCCGGGCGCTGCTGGCCGCGTAGGCTGTGAGTGGATTTGTAGTAATGGTCCGCATTGGTGCCGCGCGAGATAAATGTCGCGCCTGCCCCACCCCGTGCCTCCCCCTGCAGCATCGGCGACCATCGATCGCGTCTCTCCGGGGTGCAACGCCAGGCACTGCCCCGGGAGCAGGGATGGGTTCGTTGTCACTTCGGCAGCGCTGGGAAGAGGAGGGAGGAGAGGATGTGGGGAACTGAAGATGACCCCTTTGATCAGCGGCATGAATGGGGGAAAAAGGATAAACAAGAAGTTGAGAGCAATAAATTTAAGCCATGAACATGTCCCTGTAACCTCTGGCCTGGCCACTCGAGGATGAGACCGGCTTGAAATTCCGCGAGCCGCAGAGGTAGAGAGAGAGCCTTTAAGGCGACCAAGGTACCCTACTGCTCCGCCTCGGGAGCCGCTCCCTCCCAGGCCTTAATGAGTCAAAAAGCGTGAACGACACGCGAACAATTTTATCAATAGGACCATGTAAAGGCCGACTGTGAGGAAAGTTATTTATTAATATAGCCGATTGTGGCTGGTTCCCATCCACTCAGAAAAGAAAAGCCCTTGCTCTGGAAGCATTCACACCAGTTCTCCAATTTTTATTCTGTCCTGTGGCTCAAAGTTGAAGTTCCCCAAGTGAAATAAATTGTCCACAAAAGAGGAAAGGAACCACATTTTCTTTTATTTTTCCTTCCCTAAAAAGGAAGGGTGAAACCGATCTAATGTGCCCACTGGAGCAAGATGCAGCATGAAAGGCCGGGTGTTAAAAGTAAAAGCAGCCTTTGGAGCAAATGGGATGGAAAATTAAATGAAATTAAATAGCTTGAACGACCGTATTGTCCCTTATTAAAAAGACACATTAATTACATGGTTTCAGCTTTATTCAAAGACAATGTTTAGACTCAATCAAAACATTCCACTATCGCTCTTTATATACTTAAACCGGGCTACTAGAGGCACCATTAAAGAGAGATCACTTTTGCCCAGAGATGCGATGAAAGTTATTTTCCTTGGCGGCCCTTATTTATGCCCACCGCTGAACTGCCGGTGCCCCTGAGTAACACTTTGGCACACTGTTCTCCCTGATTTAACAGGTTGCCCCATAATGAGGCATGAATGTTAAGGAACAACAGTCATCCAAAGAGGCACAGTTGCAGAGAGCAATGTCCCACCAGGGAGCTCCATTCAAACCATCAAACCGCTCCGGCACAGAGAAGGTTCAACACCACATTCAGACCAGCATGAATGCCTGTATACAGCGCCCGGCTCATTATGCCGCAGAGCATCGCAGCGGAGGCTGGAACAAAATGCTGCAAGTTCATTCAGCAGGCCATACTCCGGCGGGGCGGCCCAGCCGGCGGCTCCCGGGGTGACCTTTTTCCCAAATGGCTTTGCCCCGACAGGGCTGCCCTTCCCCGGGCTGCGGGACGGGACGGTCCGAGGCTCCCGTCCCTGCCTGAGCAGGCCGCGAGGCTCCGCCGCAGGTGGATAGGGATGCAAGGCACGGGGCGGAGGGCAGGGGGGAGGCTTGCTGGGACCCTGAAACACGGAAATCCACTTTAAACCGAAGAGACCAATATGGTCTGAACGTTTCTTTTGGATTTTTTTTCTTCTCTTGTTCTTTTATTTTTAAATCAAAATTTTACCCTTTACCCTTTTCTCCTTTTCTGTTTCCCCCCTTTTCTCTTCTTCATATTTGCCCTTCCCTTCCCTTCCCTTCCCTTCCCTTCCCTTCCCTTCCCTTCCCTTCCCCCTCTTTCTTGCAATTTCCGAGTATCTTTTCCTCGATCTCGCTCACCTTCTCTAGTCTTAGCCGCTCTTTCTCAACCCCCCTTTCTCTCTAGCAGCCTTTCCTCTCTTCTCTTCCCTCCCCTCACTTTCATTCCTCCCCGGTGACGCCGCCCGCAGCAGCCGCTGCCGCCCCGCCGCGGAGCCGCCGGTGCCCGGTGCCCGGTGCCCGGTGCTCGGTGCTCGGTGCTCGGTGCCCGGTGCCCGGTGCCCCGTGCTCGGTGCCCGGTGCTCGGTGCCCGGTGCCCGGTGCCCGGTGCTCGGTGCCCGGTGCCCGGTGCTCGGTGCCCCGTGCTCGGTGCTCGGTGCCTCTGTCAGTATGTGTTTTTAACCCAAAGCTGCTTCACATCCATGTCTACCTATTGCCCCGCCTGTTCGTCTGTCTGTCCGTCGGCATGTCAGCCGTGCCCTCGCAGCCCCAGCACCGCAAAGCATCCTGCCGCTGCTGCGGACGCTGTGCTCGTGGGGCCACAGCGAGAGGCAACCTCCAAAGGCCAGGCCTGGCCTCCACACTGGGGCTGTCCCGTGTGTGAGGTCGTCGGGAGGCAGTAGCCCAAAACGTGGTGGGAAAATGAATAATTAGGTGAGCGATTTCTACACTCTACAGTCAGTGATCAGAAAGACGATGTTTAATCCCATCACAGTCAGACAAAAAAGAGCCTGTACCGCTACCGGCTTTTGTTTGCAGAGGCTACTCTGTGCCAATGTGATGACGGAGAGCTGGTGGCCGCCTCCTGCTCTCACCCTCTCCACTCTCCCCTGTAGGCAGCCATCGTCCCGACGGCGCGGTTTTGTGCCAAAGCACCCAGCCGGAGGCACAGCCCCTGTCCCCGCGGTGCCCAGCAGAGCTCGGCAACGCCGGGGAGATACAGACACGGCTTTCTGTGGTGATGCTGAGCTGGGTGTCCCCTCTGTGCGGGAAATGCCCTGGC